GGAGAGAAGTAGCAGGGTGAGCAGAGTAAAATACTTTAACAATCTCCTTCATACTTCCTAAAACATTTAACGTCTGTGACCTTGAAGTCCAGTATCACGAGACTTTTGAGATGCAAATATTATGCTTCCCATTGGAAAATGACTTAAATATTTCCGGTAGGCAACTCAGGCTCTAACCTTGGGTTATAAGACATCAAGCACTGGCCTTTTTGTTAGTCCTGGACTGCTCTTGGATCCTACAGCACCTTAAACCAATAGCTGGGGGAAGGAGTGTGAATAATGTCCATATTCAGTGAGAAGGAAGAATCCTTTTCTTACAGAAGGTTAAGTGGCTGAAGAATGATGCCCACTGAAAACTCCGCAGAAACACTAGAGGAAGTTCTCTGATTAAGTGCAAGAGCCCAGATGATACAGTCCAAGGTGGCAGCAGAGGCCCTTAGACACACCGCTGGGCTGTGGATTTTCTTCCTACAGTACGACACAGGAGCAAAGCGCAATGCCTGCAATATGGGGCAAAACTTATGTTTTACACAAAGCTCTATGTTATAATCTTGTAATGATTGTCAGGTGATTAGGGTGAGGAAGCTGAAGCGTTGGTCGATCCAGGTATGTGAGCTGTGCCTGTGCCTGGAAAGCCGCTTCTTTTCTGGCTGCTGCAGGAAGTTTGAAGAGCAGAAGAACCGGGTTGCTTCAAAGCATCTGCTCGAAGGCTCCTTTGCAAAGGTCACTTGTCACTGCCATGTGAAAATTTCACTGCATGTAGATCTAAATAATTAATTACTGCAGAACACAATCTTTTAATTTACATCTATCAAGCTTTCATCAGCCTGCAGACGAGCTCCAGTGTCTCTACCAGTCCTCACAGCTTTGCTCAGTAGCAAAATACACTCAACAAGAACTCATTCTTTTTTTTGCTGGGGTTATTCAAAACTGTGCCAAGTCTTGTATACATCTTAGTTTCAATTGTCAGATTAGCCATACTTAGTGGTTCTAGGATGGACATGTTTCTCTAGCCAAGGACAGCTTATTATATGCTGGGATTTTTTTTTTGTAGGAAACACTAAGAATTTCATGAATCAGCTGCCCACAAATAGTCTTGCCTTCAGGGTGAAGGTGGTCACTCAGTGCAAGTTTCCAAAGACTTTTTAGTACCTGTTAAGCGTGTGATGCCTGTCTGCCATACCAAGTGAACATGCTGGTGCAATCAACTCTTCGAAACTGTTTCAAAGTAGAGATTTTTGTGCTCTCCTTTTACATAATTCAGTATCTAGATGTCAGTCATGACCGTAACGTGGTGCTTCCTTCCTCAGTAGGTAATAGAGGTCATAAATATCCACCAATTCTTGGCAAATGGGCAATAATAATGAATTAAGATGGGAGTTTTCCGTTTGCTTCTAAATTTCTCTCAAAAATCACCTTTCCAGAACTTGTGTTTTGACTTGTTCAAGGTTTAATCTATCGGTTGTAATTTTTTCACTGGAAGTTGATAAATATTCAGTGTAAATACATGTTCCATAGTTCAGGGTGTTGTCTCTAACAAAGGAGGTTCATCTGCCACTATTTGAGATTTATTGGGCTCCTGGGTTACGTTAAATTTGTGTCTTTTGATCTTAGCACCTAACTTTGTAATATATAGTTGTCGAAATTCAAAATTTTAAATAGCAGCTTGTAAAAATTTAGGCTTGCATTTTTTCTCAAATATTAAACCTATTAGCAAAATAGCCAAATACATAAAGAAGCATCTCACTGTCTCCTTGGGTATATTATTCTTCTGTTTTAGTCTCTTCTTTGGAAACAAACGTAGAAGCCGTGTAAAAGTCAACATTACCATGCTGTTAACGCAGATGTTTCCAGGTCTAAGTATAACTTGTAAGATATTACTATGGAAATTTCAGATACTACTTTTTGCTAACGGTTAGCAAATGATAGCACTTTAATAGCAACCATATGTGTATATTGATCAGTTGTCTCAGCCTTCCCTCATTCCGGGCATGTGTAAAGAGCAGATGTCTTTTGCATATTACGTTCCTTCTCAGAATACAATTTTAATCAAAGTTCAGTATGAACACACTCTGAACAGCTACAGGCATGCAGTGGATGGTGGTTATTAAAGCATCACTCATGCTTTGAACTTCCTCTGCTGTATGACATTTACTGTAAAATCTGGGAGCTTTTCCATTTTTCTTTTTGCTTCATGACAACTTTGGGCAGCTCGCTTGTCAGAGGCTGTTAGAGGTCAAATGGGTGCGTGACAGGGTGCTCAGACACCAACACGCTGCAACAGCCCCGCATCGCCCTGCGCCAGAGGTGGGTGCAGCTGGTCTGGAAAGATGCACTATCTATTTACCCACTGTAAAGATCTCAGTGGGTTTGGGTAGTTCATGGCAGACTAAGCTGGACAGTTTGTAAACACTAGCTGTAACTTAAGTGAAAATGAGGTTTGTGCTGGACCAAAGCCATTTCTGAATTTGGGCCACATCTGCCAAATAGATTTCTTGGGAAGAAAAAGAGGGGGAACTTTTACAAATATTTTTTTTTTTGTAAAATGGCTCTCCCTTGCCTTCCCCCCTCCCACCCCCCCCATCTATGTAATTTTAAGAAGGTTTGGTTAAAAGGTACCCTGAAAATTGAACGCTCAACCTCAGTTTAATTTTTTAGGTTTTAAATCTTGCCGCAGAAACCTCACAATCAAATAAAAAATAAAAAAACCCAAACAAACCAACCCCAAACAAATAGAAAAACTTAGGAAAATTCCTACTTTTTAAAAAAAAGCTACTGAACTGAACTATGAAATCTACTATTTGCACAACTCCAGTCCAACTGTAATCCCCACTATAAAGACCCTCTGTAGTTTAGAGATGGTATTTGCCAACCGCTCCTTGGGGCATACTACTCCTTCTCCACTCTCCTAGTACTGCATTTAGCAGAGCAGAGCACTATTTGTGATTGCAGCCTCTTCAAAGCTTATTATGCCCATATTTCAAGTACAAAAGCCAAAGTAACTTGCAGTTTCTCCCTAAGCAGCCCCAGCGTTTTGGGATAGATTGTATAATGCAGCTCAGACTCATGCACTAACTGTTAATGTTAGAATTTAAATAGGTTTTGTTCTATTCAAGGGCAGTAGGCTAAAGGTTTCTGAAAACTCTGGTTTTAGGAAGAAAAGTTAGGTCTCTTTTAGAGTTTGTGTGTGAATTAGCTTTTGCATCCATGGAGATATCTTTAAATGATACTTAATACAAAAAAACTTTAATTCGTGCTGAATGTGTATGCTCTTCTGGACTCTAAAATAAAGTTATATTTATCTTTAAGGTATGTTATCTTCAAAAAATCACAGAATATTAGCTGTTTATATAAACACAGATTTTGTCCTAATTATTTGTCACCAGTAATGGTGCTATTCCGAAATAGCTATTTCAAGTTATGTTTCATTTTGAACAATCTTGTTCTCCAACACGGAAATGTTCTTCTATCCCTTTCTGAATCAAGACCTTATTTATTCCTGTTATCCATCCATTTACAAGTGACTAATATTTATATACTTTGCTTATTTCCAGTGCAACAGGTTTTTAAATGGAGATGAATATTTTAATCTGCTGTTAGGCTGCTTTATACATTATATGGCAGAAAACCAAAGCAGATCTGTATGTGCGGTTTCTAAATTAAACCTAGTTTCCAATAACAAAATTAGAGTCAGAGGTAAGTTTTTAATTTGGATTAACTTAATTTGGCAGTTGTAAGTGACAGGAGGATTGGAAAGGCGAAGAAAGAAAAAATTGGCTAATTTCAATGAGGTATTTGTGTTTAACAGTGAAGGCTAATAATGCCCTTTTTCTGTATCCTGGATTGGTTTATTTTCTTTTATGCCATTATTTGTGTTTAGTGAACAGCTGGGCCAGTAGTTCCCATTTGTAGTCTTTTAGCTCTGTGAAGTAGCAGAGAAAGTAATGGACGTTTGCAAATTAATACTTACCGTTATTTTCTGCTAATCTGATGTAGCTATCCTTTTTGAGCATAGATGTAATATCAGAGCAGAAGTAATTACTCTGTTAAAACTAGTACTGGAGTAGAAAATTTTGCTAATTAAACTTGTTGCATTTAAATTGCTTCCTTTGGATCACTATATAGAAGAGAACTGTTTTGAACAATAAATGAAACCACTTTCTTTCTCAGAGGCCTAGAATTGCAGATGGTCAGATTGTGTGTGAAGCACCTAGGCTCTGAATTAGGCTTTTGTATGAAAGAGAGAAAGGTAATTTGAATGTTTGAACTCCCTGTTCCTCCCACACATACACAGGAAGCTTGTCTCAAAATGAACAATTCTCTAAATAAAGACTAATAAGAAGCTAAATTAATTAGAAGGTGTGATTTGAAAAGACATTGATGAGAAGAGTCTGTCATTTTAGACAAATGGAATGGAGCTAAATAAATTAGGCCACATTAATATCTCATTGTTCTGTGAGCAGCTTTCTTTTATTGCATTCATTAGAGGGTACTTCTTGAAATGAGCCTTTACTAGCCATTACGGATTCAGTTCTCATTTACCAATGCCTAACACGCAGCTTCTGCATTAAAAATGTTTCAGCAAATCCTCATAGTTTTTGCAAATTAATATTTATATTTCTGGATGCTGCACTTTTCATCTGCAACATAGTAGGCGCTGAACATTAAGGTTTTTTTCCCACTGAATTGTCAGTAAAGAAGTCTTACATCAAAAGATTTGGGAGGCAGAAGTCTGAAATGACTTTATAAAATAAACTGTATGCATAACTTGTACAGTAGAATCTTCCTCCAACTAATATTCTTTCCAGTATTTATTTATTTTGATAGAAAATACCCTGCCTCATGACTTCAGTAGTCCTTTGATAGCTTTTTAATGTGTCTTTTAAAAGGTTCCTTCAGTATATAATTAGGATACATTAGAAATGCGCATCTCATCACGCATTTCTTCCTCTCAGAAAACGGAACGTATATTTTTCCTTTTCTTTTTCTCTCTCCTGCAGATGGAATATTTGGGAGATGTCAGCGAGTGCCAGTAATAGACATCTATAAATATGACATTTCACCCCCTGTTCTTCAGCGCCTAAGGATCATCCTGGAGAAGCTCTCACACAGAGGTATAGTAAAAATTCTGGAGTAGGGTTAGTTGCACTGGGGGTTACAGTTATTTTGTGCCCCCTCGGAGGTGATGTCTTCAGAAGTTTTCGAAGGCAGTGTGTTTCAGGCCTGGTAGTACAGACTTTATAAAAGTAGAAAGCCTTCTGACTCACTGAATCTGCAACAAGGAGTTGGTGAAGCAATTTCAGGAGAGGTGCTTCCTCCCTACATAGTGCGTGTCTGTGACTGACACTCTATACAATAACATTTTAGCATCTGTGATTGCTGGTGTCATATAAATAAATCAGTGGGAAAGAAAAATAATTTGCCATGTATACTTTTGCACCACAGCATATTTCAGAGTGCATGGGCAGAAAACAAAACTTCCAATTAGCTAGAAAGAGTTCTTAACTTTCTAATGAATTCAGATAAGTAGAACTGCTCTGACTTCATTACAAGCTGCATCTACTCTGTTCCTTTTAATTTTTATTCAGCTTTCTGAAGTTAATCTCTGTGCTTTTTCCAAAGCCAAAAAGGACGTTCTAGCTTCTGAATGGCATAACTTGAACTAACAAATCAAAACTTGGATAAAATGAAAGCCAGTATGGTGAACAAACTTTTTAGGTACTAATACATGAAAGAAACCTCTGCTGTAGACAGCCACAGGACCAAGAAATCTTTGTAGTCTAAATTGTTCCAAGAACATTGTTGGAACAGTTAATTTTGCAATTGCATCATCTGTGTGCGTGTTTGTTCCTAAATATTTTCTAGTTACAATCTCAATTACAAACTAGTAATACTGTATTAGCATAATGCTAGTTTAATTGGGAGAAAAAATTGATTTCTTCGAAGTTCATGACTATGCTTAGAGGCTGGACTTCTAGTTTGGAAACCACTGATTTAGAGGTTTCAAAAAATTTCTAGGGATTTATTTCCTGTCCAGCAGCCCATCCAAATGAAGCAAACTCAGCAAAACTCGATTGTAGTAACTCCTGGCTGATTAACAGTTATGTGTGAATAGTACTTGTGGCTCTTTCACTTGTCATTTTCTAAAGGCTAAGTTATGCAAGCAAACTTAGAAAAATACTATTTAATCAGGGCAACATTGTATGAGTGGAAAAGCTAGTATCTGCTCTCTGTTTGAATATAATGAAGAAGGGGGGGGCATATTCCTTGCACTAAGACACCTAAATTGATATCTAAATTGATCATGCTTGCATGGACAGCCAGCACTCATTTACATCGCCTGAATATCAGTGATGAGTCCTATGTAAAGCTTCCTTCACGGGAATGTTGGAGGTAAAAGGCCTGCAGGAGCCCCATGCCCTTCTAGAGGGGCACATATAGAGGCTGATGGGAAACCCTAGGTCACCTCAGAAGATGCTTACCTGTCTCCATCTCCCTGACTACCATAAGGTTTTGGTTGGTTCAATGGAATTGATGTGACCTCCCCCTACTAAGAGCTTCCCTGATCAATAAACCAGCCCTTCCTAGGATCTCTGTTACCAGCAACCCAGCTCCCTGGATGTATCTGTTGCAGTAAACTGCAGTATGCTTCTTTTAAGGAAACTTGGGCATTGAAATTTGGACTTGTCTCATACTTTTTCATAGCAAGAGAATGACAAGGAACACACAGCTTGAAACCATGGTGAAGAGTGAAAGCACTTTTGCTTTTATCTTTTCTTACTCATGACATTTAGAGGTGCATACACAGATGTGTATATGCTTTGAACTGATATAAAAGTTTTGCAAGCAGTTTTTGTGGCCTGTAGGTATCCCAGTGAAAAGAATCTTAAATATATCTGTAAAAGATAATAGAATGCTAGAACACTTTTGTTCAAATGATTGATGTGATAAAATCACCTTTTTTTTTTTTTTTTTACTTTTTTTTACTCTCAGTATCCTTAGCAAATTCTGAAGTGTTTGGTGAGGACAGAAATATGGAAGGACTAGAATCAATACGGGCTATCAGCTTAATGTATTACTGACAGCAGATTGCTCAGAGAAGACTCTGCTGTTTGCTAGTGCTATCAGATGTAGTACATCCAGCCCTTAGGTTGTGTTTTCTGGCTGTGGTGGTCACTTGCACAGTTAGTACTGTTCTCCTGCAAAGTGTGTGCAAAACATCATGACCATTTCTGCAGTATAGGTTAGCAAGACATTGTCAAGACCACACAGATGTTCCATGTTCCAGGTAACTTCAAGAAAGGGCTTCCTTTTTTTCAGAGGTCTTACTTCCTATATCTATATGATACCCTGTTCTTCTTGTCCTCTCCAAAAAGTACTGGCCAGCTCCACTTGGTGATGCCCACTTTCCCTGGAAAGGATAGGGGACAGCATCTGCTCTCTCCTTTTTGTAAACAGCAGGACCATTTTCTCTTGGAACACTATATAGTAGGTCCCATGATAAGCAAAACTTTTAGTAATGTCTGTATTGAACACTTTCTACTTTTATTGGATGTAGATACAGTTCAGGACCAGATATTTTGGAGGTCATTAACTTGAGTGGTTTTCTAGGTTCTTACTTATTTATTTTTCTAACGTGACTTGGTTTTTCTTTTTTGTTTCCTTCCTGGTGTCTTCTTGCAATATTACTAATCTATTCTTTTTTTTTTTTTTCCTAGCAATACTCTGTTGACATCTATTTCCATAGAATTAATAAAAAAAATAAAAATCCATAGAAAGCCTTGTAAAATTTACATCCTCTTTCTTTCCTGTTTGCTGATCACTTCTAAGTGATGCCTATATTTCAATCATGGTCCAAATGGAAGCTTGTATGGTCAGGTGCTATAAAACAAAGGACAATGTGATATGAATAGCAAATATAATTTGTGATTCTGCCAGCTCGAAATGTTTACTACAATAGGGAAGCATAGGACAGAGGCTTAGATGAGTGGCACACCTGATGATAATCTGTTTAATAAAGGACTTTGACTAAAATTGAATTCAGATTTCATAATGATGCAGTTTTTATGTCTTCTTTACACATTAAGTCTATCTTTGCCTACACTGTCTACTAGTAGATTGATGATAGAAATGAATGCCTTGGAATATTAGATAGTTTCCCACAAAGAAATGATCTGTTAGCATTCAAATACCTTTGTTCATGGCATTTTCACTCACGCTGTCTTTGAGTCAGTCAAATCTTTCAAAATACCCTTCATGAAGAAGATTTTTCTGAAGATTCAGGTTTTATAAATGTGACTGTCTATATGGGAAAAGCCCTTCTCACAGTTGCTGAAAAGTGATGAATCACTTTCTGAAGTTGGTAGTACTATGATTTATAATTTATGAGGAGTTGAAACATTTCTCATTGTCTGATAAACAGGACAATCAAAAGGATGCTGTTTAGATAGGACTAAATCATTGGTAAAGGCAAATGAAGGAAGCGTCAACACAGCAGGGTGAATGAGTAGTGCCTGAAGGAAATGGAAATACTTATCCCTATGGTTGGACTTCTGTGTCCTTTTGTCCAACTTGGGAGAAGATACTTCTTGGACTATACCAAGAACGGTAAATTATCTATGCACTTCCCTGTTTGAGCTAAAATGCACAGAATACTTTTTTTTTTTTTTTTTTTTACTTTAATGAATTAAATAGATTATAAAATGTTTTGTTTTCTTCTTGTTCCAGCAATATTACTGCAAAGGCAAAGTGATTGCATCACTAAGATTGTGGGAAGTTTCACACTGATGGTTGACCTATAAGATTAGGAGCATGGAAAATGAGATAGGAGGACTAATCATGGTACATTATAACTCAAGCATGAATGCATAAATGGTACTTGAAATATCAGCATAAGCAATAATAAAAGAGAACAGTAGTATTTCTTGACTTGCTTACTCCAGGAGGGATTTCAATTTATTTCATAGAATAGTTTCTAACCAGTGATTCAGTCTAGCTGATAACATAACATGGTACTAACTCTGTGAAAACGCAGCTGCCATAGCGATGACCATTACTTGACTAAAGAGGTCAGAGATGGAGCCTGGAGGACACACTTCCTTAAAGACATCAGAACAAGGGTATTTGCTCAGCGTCACAACAAGTGGCCACCTCACTTATGATTCTGCCTCTGCGAGTGGCCACTGTGCCTGTTTATTGAAAAAAAGTAAGGAAAGTTCAAGCATTTTGCAGCATTTGTACCTTCTCAGCATTATGTGCTTGGTGGCATAGAGTTCTCCTGAGGTAGAAGTTCTATTTTTGTGTTTGCTGTATGCCCTGTGGACACTGTTTCTAGCACAGTTCAACAGGACACTGTGTTGTAAAAACAAAGCATGGTAGACTAATAATCAGTAGTTTAGCTTCTGTCTTCTGTTTTACTTAAGTTTTAACTAAATTACGGCTGTTATCACTTTACTGCAGGAACCGTGCAGCACGACTACTTAAAAAACAAATCTGATAAATGTTTTTTGGTTTGTTTATGTAAGTTGGAGTCATTAATAATGATTCCTGAGTACGCTTGTTGCTACTTAATCTTTGCTATAACCCCTTCTTGTTCAAAACTTTATTTTCAGGGAAAGCGATTTCTTTCACACTGTTATGAAGGAAGTCTTGCTTAAGATATTCAAATATCAACAGTATTATTAAGAGAACCAAAAAGAGTAGGATACGCTTTTAAATTCATTTAGCAAGTCAGCAAGATATTCTGGAGAGGCTCATGGGCTGTGGAAAAAGGCAACAGACTTACAGACTATTTGAAAAAAATAGCACTTTTTTCCTCTTGTTTATTTTCTTTGCAACCCAGGAAGCTCTTGAGCAGGAGAAAAAAATATTTGTGCTGAATTAATTCTAACTAGTTAAGTGTAAGGTGATTAATATAACTTCGCTACAAATAATATTATATTCTTACAGCAAATTTGTTTTAAAAACTAAAATGATTTACAATCTGTTAACTTGAAAATTGAAATGAATGTGACTTGTCACATGCAGCTTGTGAATTACGAAAGGGTTGCTAAATGTTTCAGTCAGGACTATTTTTCAAGGCAAAGTATCATTTGTTACTGCAAGGAAGGTAACG